TATTCTATATGTTTTCTTTTTTATTTATTATATAATAAAAAAAAAACCCTTGTAATGACTAAATGTAACTTGTACAATAACAATAGCATGTTTTTGGGTGTGGCACCATGTCAATACCATGTTCTAAAATCTATCATTACAATTACATATTTTAAATTGCACCATGTCAATGCCATATTTTTTGAGTTGTACTATGGCAATGCCATGTTTTAAATGTGATTCCATGGCGATCCCATGTTTTTGGATGTGATTCCATGGCGATACCATGTTTTTGGATTTGATTCCATGGCGATACCATGTTTTTGGATGTGATTCTATGGCGATACCATGTTTTTGGATGTGATTCCATGGCGATACCATGCTTTTGGATGTGATTCCATGGTGATACCATGTTTTTGAAATCTGTCATGACAATGTACTAAAACTAGCTTGCTCTATTTTTCTATTCTATATGTTTTCTTTTTTATTTATTATATAATAAAAAAAAACCTTGCTAAATGACTAAATGTAACTTGTACAATAACGCATGTTTTTGGGTGTGGCACCATGTCAATACCATGTTCTAAAATCTATCATTACAATTACATATTTTAAATTGCACCATGTCAATGCCATATTTTTTGAGTTGTACTATGGCAATGCCATGTTTTAAATGTGATTCCATGGCGATCCCATGTTTTTGGATGTGATTCCATGGCGATACCATGTTTTTGGATTTGATTCCATGGCGATACCATGTTTTTGGATGTGATTCTATGGCGATACCATGTTTTTGGATGTGATTCCATGGCGATACCATGTTTTTGGATTTGATTCCATGGCGATACCATGTTTTGGATGTGATTCCATGGCGATACCATGTTTTTGATTTGATTCCATGGCAATACCATGTTTTTGGATGTGATTCCATGGCGATACCATGCTTTTGGATGTGATTCCATGGCGATACCATGTTTTTGAAATCTGTCATGACAATGGCATTCTTTTTGTACTTGCACTATGGTAATACCATGTTTTTAAACTTGTAGAATATCAATACTATATTTTTTGGTGGTACTACTATATTCTTTTCATGGTACCATGGTAATACCGTGTTCTTGACATCTATCATGGCAATGACACCCTTTTTAAAGTTGCATCATTATAATACCATGTTTTATGACTTGTATGATGGAAATACCATGTTTTTTTGGATCTGGTACCATGGTAATACCATATTCATGATGTCTATGGCAATGGCAATGCATATTGTTGTTTTTATTTTTTACTTGCACCATGGTAATACCATGTTTTTTTCTCTTATACTATGGTAGTAGAATGTTTTTTTTGTTTTTTTTTTGATCTGGTACCATACCATGTTCTTGACATCTATCATGACATTGCAATGGATTTTTTACTTGCACCATGGTAATACCATGTTTTTTTTTCACTTACAGTATGTCAATACCATATCATGGCGATGGCGTGGTTTTTGTACATGCACTATGGTCATACTATGTTTTTTGGATACGCTACCATGGTAATAGCATGTTTTTGACATTGCCTGCTGTAAAGTTCATACTCCCCAGGGCAGTGTTGCCTTTGTATTGGAGTTATCAATCTAATTGCACCATGGTAATACCATGTTTTTTTCTCTTATACTATGGTAGTAGAATGTTTTTTTTGTTTTTTTTTTGATCTGGTACCATACCATGTTCTTGACATCTATCATGACATTGCAATGGATTTTTTACTTGCACCATGGTAATACCATGTTTTTTTTTCACTTACAGTATGTCAATACCATATCATGGCGATGGCATGGTTTTTGTACATGCACTATGGTCATACTATGTTTTTTGGATACGTTACCATGGTAATAGCATGTTTTTGGCATTGCCTGCTGTAAAGTTCATACTCCCCAGGGCAGTGTTGCCTTTGTATTCGAGTTATCAATCTAAGCTTCTTTCTATTGTCATTATTTCATATCTCTCTTTTGATGCACTTTGAAAATTTTTCCCAGAGTTCTCGGGTGTGGTGCCGTTTGGTTCCCCGATGTAATATTTCAGATCAGATGGTTTCATTACCTGATTCTGCCTCTTTTATTATACAGCACAAAGGCGTTCACGCCATGAAGAAAACCCTGCTTCTATTTCCATCTGACTCACACAATTAGCGGTCGATTAGTGTTTCACTCTTATCAATGAGCTGTGAGATTTCCGTCATGGGCATGCTGAGGAATGTAGGTCACCGGGTTTAGAAAAGCTGTCAGTTTTTAAGGCGTGGGACATAAACATCTGAGAATGTGAATGATATCACCTGACCGGCCCTGTTGTGCTGTTAGCCGGTGTTTAGTCAGCTGAGAACACGTGCCAGTGGCAGTATTGTCTGCGTCTGAAGGTCCTGCTGATAGTTCGTGCAGCTCTTCTTGTTTTGAGTGTGCGGCTCAGAGCCTTGTAATGACTTTTTCCATAAGTCATTTTCCTGTGGGTCTTTGAAAAGAAAGGAATAGTTTCTTTACATGGTATTTTCCATGATAGAATGCTAGGCCAGCTCACAACAGATGCACAGTGAATCTCAGTAGACATATCCAGGTCAACATTCATCACAAAATCAAAACACATGATAAAAAGGAATTCGGTTTTAAACATTAAAGACCTTTTGCACCGTTTTCAGGGCTATTAAGCAAATTTCAACCAATTTTAAGTTAATTAGTAAATTTATATTAATATTTAAAAAATCTACTTAAATATAATACCTTCATACATATAATATGTAATATTCATTCATAAAAAGAATGCTGAAAAAATGTATCACATTTTCCACAAAAATGATAAGCATCAACTATTTTCATAGTAATCAAAAATGGTTCTTAAGCAGAAAATCAACATATCAGAATGATTTCTGAAGGATCATGTGAGAATTTTTTGTGGAAACAGCAATACTTTTTTTTCAGGATTCTTTGATGAATTAAAAGTTCAAAAGAGCAGCATTTTTATTTATTTATTTTTATTTCAAATAATTACTGTTCTTTTGAACTTACTATTCATCAAAGAATCCATCAAAAAAAACAAAAACACACCATTTTCTAGATTGATAATAATGAAATAAATTACACTTTACAATACATTCAAATTGAGAACAGTTATTGTTTTCAATTTATTTTAAATTGAGAATTTATATATAAAAAAAAAAACTTTAACAAATCTTACTGACCACAAAATTTAAATGTAAGTTCACTACCATGATGCACAAATTATTGCTTTGCAATAATGTCTTTTTTATTTAATTTTGTTTTGTTTTGTTTTGTTTTATTGTATTTTATTTTGTTTTGTTTTATTTGTGCTAATGGAAATTATGAGAAATTGTGCATAACAGTCTTAAATGTTTTTTTTTATTTTTTTATTTTATCTTGGGGTGGATATATTTTTCACATGTTTTGTGTATGTTTTTTTTCCCCCAGTGTGTTTTTTTTTGTTTTTTTTTGGTATTTATACGTTTGTTCTCCCCTCTTTCACATACAGTTTTTTTGTAAATGTAAACATTTTTCAGTTTAAGGAGTGTCAACAGAACCTGTAGTTAAAATGACGGCCATCTTAAGAAGTTTTACATTTTAATTTTTGATTAATTTTAGTTTTTACATGGATGCTGTGACTTATGAGTCAGACTGAAGTCACTGGTTCTTAAAAGTCTCGTTCACTTCCCTTTGAGAATTCATTAGTGTGATGTTCATCATCATTTACAACACGCCATTGATGTCTCTTCACCTGCCACAATATTTGCGTTTTGAACATAAGTGTTAACATGTTTAACTTGTTTCCTAAAACACACAAAGACACGGCTGTGTAAACACGTTAAACCCTTACCGAAATTTTACATGTGGGAAAGCTGGCACATTCATAGCGCTTAACGTTTTCTATAACATTATACTCAGTTGAGCTGTTAACTGAAGCGCTGTGTGTTGCTGTGCAGGGTTTGGCTGGAAAGACGGAGGAGGTGAGCAGCACACGGCCAGAGACGCCCAGCACACTGACGGAGGTGGACAGGGAGGTCAGTCTGGACACATATCAGATCACGCTGGAGGAGGTGCTCACCTGGCTGCTGTCGGCCGAAGACACGCTGCACATGCAGGACGACGTGTCCGACGACGTGGAGGAGGTCAAAGACCAGTTCCACACACATGAGGTATATGTGACACACAATAACACCTCATAAACGTTGTTAGCATTTAGAATGCTAAAAAACCATCATCTCTTTGTTCATTGAATTACTCAGGAAGATATAACATAACAATATAACATTACTGTGATTTAAAATAAAAAAATTAAAATAGATGGGTAACGATGAATAACAAACCTTGATGTTGGCTTGACAAAGCTTTGTTTGAAAGTTTGAAATAACTTTGAAACGCTTGAAGTTTGAAGATTTTACTCAATTCTCAAGTCAGTGAAATGTTATTATTATTTTCTACCACATTGCTAAAATGTTTAAATAAATTGTGAACATGATTTAACATGCTGTTAACATGTTAGCACATTGCTAGCATGATATAACATGTTAGATTTAGAATGTTGCTAACATGTTGTTTTATCATGTTTAGGCCTGTCACGATAACAACTTTTTGTTGTGCGATATATTGCCCCAGAAATAATTGCGATAAGCGATATTGTTGTCATTTTAAAGACCATTTTATGCCACTGAATATATAATCATAATGTAATGGCATTATAATGCAAGAAGACCTACACACTTCCAAATGACAACACACTTTTAATTTTTAAGAATATTTAGATCATGGAAATTAAGTATCAAAATATTAGATAGGCCATTGCGCGATAAGTCGATATATTGATTATTGCGACAGGCCTAATCATGTTGCTAGCATGATTTATCACGTTACTAGCATATTTTAGCATGTTGCTAGCATGATTTAGCATGTTTTGATGTTCCTAGCATGTTTTCTAGCATGTTTTTAGCATGATTTAACATGTTTTATCATGTTTCTTGCATGTTTGAGCATGTTGCTAATATGATTAAGCATATTTTGACATGTATCTAGCATATTTTCTAGCATGTTTTTTAGCATGATTTAGCATGCTTTCACGTTTCTTGCATGTTTTAGCATGTTGCTAATATGATTAAGCATATTTTGACATGTTTCTAGCATGTTTTCTAGCATGTTTCCAGCATGTTTTTTTTAGCATGATTTAACATGTTTTATCATGTTTCTAGCATGATTTAGCATTTTTTTCACGTTTCTTGCATGTTTTAACATGTTGCTGGCATGGTTAGCACATAGCTAGCATAAATTAGCATGTTACTAACATGATTTAGCACATCGTCCCAGAATATCCGTTAATCTTTACTAGTGACAGACAACTTAAATACACTATAAGTCTTACAAAAATACAAAAGTTTTGACCCCCTCAATGAAAGTTTTTATTTTATTATTGTTTTATCGGGTTTACGAAAACTGTAAGTCAGATCAGTTAAAGATATAGCAACCCGAGTCAGACCAGTCTGAATGTCTGACCTGAGTTTTGGTGGTTGTAGCTTGAAAACTTTAAGAGGAGATACAGACTAAATTTAGTCTCACATGAAGAAGCTGAAGTAGGATTTCATTATGTTAATAACAAAATTCATCACACCATGAAACCGCCCACCGCTGCTCTTTCTGATTGACCTGAGGACTTTAAGTGTTAGCATGTCCCGTGATCAGATGCTCCGTGTTCCCGTCCTGTCGGAGAACATGCTCCGAACATGCCAGGAATGTGAGGAATTCTGTGAGGCAGAGAGACCTCTGACATAAACTCTGGCACATAAACTCACTCCTGAGTGATGGATCCAGAGCGGGAGGGTGAGGTTTATATTCCTGTCAGAAAGTGAAGGCTAATATGAGGCACTGACGCAGAAACAAAAGCAAGGCAAATGCAGGAAAGCTCTGGGGATCCTCTGAGCACTGGGCTTTTCCTGAAGCTTGAACCTGTTTGTCTCTGCACTCTGGTTCCACTTGAAACATCAGAGATTTAGATAATGTGCAAATGGTTTGTTACGTCATTTGTCTTTTTTGATCGTTTTTCTGTTTCGAGAATAGATCATAAGATACTGTGTGAATGAGTGGCACATTTTCTTCTACTACACATACTCAAGCACAAGTCTCACTGTATGAGTACACGAACACGTGTACTTCATCTCCAGAGCTGCTCTGAGAGTCACTGCACCAGCATTTCACCGTTTCATTTGAGCAAAGCTATCGTCAAATACATTTTCTGAATCTGATCTTCACGGCAAACCACCAAAATAAAAGTTTGCTTTAACTTGAAGAAATTATGGCAGAAATATTTTAGCATTGCTTGAATTTAATCAGCAAACCTCTGTTGTGCAGCACATTTTTGACAAAATACAAATGAAAATGCAATGATGTGTTGTAAAGGAATTGTCTATTTTCATTTTAATATTGATTTTAATAGACTAATTATATAAAAAGATTCATTTCATTTGATTTGATGTTTTATGATTATAAATTTATAGTAAATCACAAAACACAAATTCCAATTTTTGTTAAAGTTGTAATAAATTAATACATTTTCAGTAGGGGTGTAACGGTACACAAACATGATGGTTCGGTACGTACCTCGGTTTTGACGTCATGGTTCGGTATGGTTTCGGTACAGCAGGAGAAAAAAAACCTTAAACTTTTTTTTTTATACAGTCTAAAAGGTTTATTGAATAGTTCACCCAAAAATAAAAATATGCTGAAAATCTACTCACCATCAGGCCTCCTGAAGATGAGCGGATGAGTTGTTATCTTGATGGGAACAAATTTTGAGAAATGTAGCATTTAGTCATTTACTCAGCAATGGATCCTCTCCAATGAATGGGTGCCATCAGAATGAGAGTCCAAACATCTGATAAAAACATCACAGTAATCCACACCAGTCCACCAATTAACATCTTAGGAAGCCAAATACGAGTCCATAATATCTGATCCGTGCATATTTCTCTCCTAATTCAGGCGAGATGACTTTTTCACTGGAGAAAGTGTTATGTATTATGGGCTCGTATTTTATCTGGAAGCAACAGTTTAAAGTTAAAACACATTAGTGATGAATTTGTTTATTACAAAAACAGCAGCTTTTCACTTCACACACTGTTAACTGATGGACTGGAGTGGAGTGGATTGCTTGTGGTAATAGACTAATTATATAAAAAGATTCATTTCATTTGATTTGATGTTTTATGATTATAAATTTATAGTAAATCACAAAACACAAATTCCAATTTTTGTTAAAGTTGTAATAAATTAATACATTTTCAGTAGGGGTGTAACGGTACACAAACATGATGGTTCGGTACGTACCTCGGTTTTGACGTCATGGTTCGGTATGGTTTCGGTACAGCAGGAGAAAAAAAAACCTAAACTTTTTTTTTTTTAATTAAACAATGGTTTACTGAACAAATTGCTTTTTCTTTAAATAAATTCAATTACAATAAAAATTTTCCTAGGGATAAAAATCTACCTCAGCTCCTGCTCTAAACTACAGGGAGCCCTTTTACATTACTATAAGATTACAGCTAACAACAGAGCCCAAACTTAAATATTTGTTTCTTACAAACACGCAGCTTTTCACTTCACACACTGTTAACTGATGGACTGGAGTGGAGTGGATTGCTTGTGGATTATTGTGATGTTTTTATCAGCTGTTTGGACTCTCATTCTGACGGCACCCATTCACTGCAGGGCATCCTTTGTAATGCTACATTTCTCCAAATCTGTTCTAAACAAACATTTGGGCTGAAAAGTAAACCAGTGTTTTTTAGAGTGTAACTTGATCACAATTTGAAAATGATTACTAAGAGACATTAAAAGAAAATTGAGACAAAGTGTATACTTAGCTTTGATAAAGTCTCCTAAAATAGCAACCTCTGATCAATAAAAAGTTCCCAAGGAGACTAGTAGTTAATGAATGATTCTCATCAGAGATCCCGTCTGTGTACACAACCTGTTCACAAATAAAAGCTTTCTCTTTATGATGCCCAATGTGAATTTATCATGAATGCTGAAAGGATAGAGAGAGAGTGTTGTGCAGCACATTTTTGACAAAATACAAATGAAAATGCAATGATGTGTTGTAAAGGAATTGTCTATTTTCATTTTAATATTGATTTTAATAGACTAATTATATAAAAAGATTCATTTCATTTGATTTGATGTTTTATGATTATAAATTTATAGTAAATCACAAAACACAAATTCCAATTTTTGTTAAAGTTGTAATAAATTAATACATTTTCAGTAGGGGTGTAACGGTACACAAACATGATGGTTCGGTACGTACCTCGGTTTTGACGTCATGGTTCGGTATGGTTTCGGTACAGCAGGAGAAAAAAAACCTTAAACTTTTTTTTTTTTAATTAAACAATGGTTTACTGAACAAATTGCTTTTTCTTTAAATAAATTCAATTACAATAAAAATTTTCCTAGGGATAAAAATCTACCTCAGCTCCTGCTCTAAACTACAGGGAGCCCTTTTACATTACTATAAGATTACAGCTAACAACAGAGCCCAAACTTAAATTCAATTACTATTTATTTTTAACTACAATAATGAACACTAAAAAAAAAAAAAAAAATTGTATGCAAACATGTAAATTACACATAATGCAGTTTTTAAATAAACTTTTAAATTATACAATTTCTATTTGTTGTTGAAATACAATCATTTACACAGTGGCTGTAATAACTTGTTTCATAAAAGATTTATCTAAACATACATTAAATAATAAAGACATCATGAACTGGTAAAGTAAAATATAATGAAGAATATAGTCTAATATTTCTAAAAATGCTCTTCTCTAGACTTCATTTCCCTAGCAAATAACGAGCTGTGGACACTGATGACTTGCCTGAGGTAAATGAAATGCTACGTGGCATTTTGTTTACAAGCTGTTTTAATGACGCCTTTCTGCGGTTGAAACACTAATTAAACGATTACATGAGATGTTCATTAATGTTTATTTCACGTTAAAACTAGTAATAAAGAGGAAAGAGATGATTATGCGCTCACTCGCACTCTGTGCTGCCAAGGCTTCTATACAGCGATCTCTCACGCCTCATCAAAGAGTGCCAAAACGGCATTTATTGTCTGAATTTCCTGAAAAAAATGGAACGAGTTGTTTGGTACATGTGCGCACCGAACCGAAAAACCCGTACCGAAAATTTTCGGTACAAATACATGTACCGTTACACCCCTAATTTTCAGTAAAATTAGTTCTTATTTATTTAAACCATTAATACAGAATTTACAAAAAGTTAAAATAGAAAACCGAATTGAAGAAAAATTAAGCAGACATATTTATAAAACATTGGATAAAGATATATAAATTGCCATAAATTAAAATCAACATAGATTAATAAATGCTGTAAAAAAATGCTATTGTTAGTTCATACTTTAAACATTTATTAATGTCAACACATTTTATTATAAAAAATGTTACCGTTCCCATGTTTTTTTTGGCAAAAATAAAAGCCTACAGTAAGTATGATGAACTGTATTACTTGATGAAATAATTATTTTTAAATGCAATATGCTGTGCCTAAAACACAATTAACCATGGTAAAGTCATCATAATGCTCTCCCTCATGTCAGTTTTTGCCATAATAAACCATCAAACGGTGCAGCTGCTTATTACATGACTACTTATCAAATAAATAAATGCATAAATATTATTAAATTATTATGGTTATTTATTATATAAGAAAACTTTGCCAATAAATGCCAATAAATACATATAAAAATGTACTGGGTTTCTTACATAAAAATGCATTTATCTTAAAATATAGCATATTTAAACCTTTTTTTGTTTGTTTAGAACAGTCTAAATGACTTGTACTCTAAGACATCTGTGAAGATGGTTTGTAGTCATCCTGGTAACTGATGTGTCGTTTTGCCGCCTCAGGCGTTTATGATGGAATTGACAGCCCACCAGAGCAGCGTGGGTAACGTCTTACAGGCGGGAAACCAGCTGATCGCTCAAGGCAACCTGAGTGAGGAAGAGGAGGATGAGATCCGAGAACAAATGACACTGCTCAACTCCCGCTGGGAAAACCTGCGGGTCGCCAGCATGGACCGTCAGTCCAGGTACGGACGCACACATTCCTACCGAAGTCTTCTGTTTGAAGAGTGTGCTTGAATTTGTCATCTCTCCTCTGTCTTCAGACTTCATGAAGTTCTGATGAACCTTCAGCAACAGCAGCTCCAGCAGCTCTCTGATTGGCTGACGCAGACGGAGGGGCAGATCCGTAAGATGGAGAAAGAGCCAATAGCAGGAGACATGGAGGGATATCTTCCCCAGATAGAGGAGCACAAAGTAAGAGAAGCATTTGATTCTCTAAGTAGGACTTGGTATAACCATCTATGTCATGGTGTGTCATGATACATTGTGATGCATCACAAAATTATACAGTCTAAAAGGTTTATTGAATAGTTCACCCAAAAATAAAAATATGCTGAAAATCTACTCACCATCAGGCCTCCTGAAGATGAGCGGATGAGTTGTTATCTTGATGGGAACAAATTTTGAGAAATGTGAGAAGAATGAATAAGCAAATCAACACGCCCCAGTGAACGAGGGGCAAACACGACCTCTGCGTGTTTGTTCAGTTAGCGAATGGAGAACACACACACACGTTCGCTCCCACACACATGCTTACGTTTAGGAACACGACCTCTGCGTGTTTGTTCAGTTAGGTAATGGAGAACACACACACACACGTTTGCTCCCACACACATGCTTACGTTTAGGAGCCTCGCAGTCTCATAGGAAGGGTACCACATCACCCTAGTGCTTCCACATTATTTACGGAGACACGCACATGTACACTTTCATACTTGACACAGTACAGAGTCAAAAAATATCCACCCCAAATCCTACCACATCAAACTTATTCTGAAAAACCTGTTAACAACATGCCCTGGGCAGATCTGACCCAAAATTAAAAGAAAGGTATTAGAAATTGTATCTAGATTTAACAAAATGAAACCAATATTTTGAATTACATGTAATAAAGTCTTTTGCATTATGACATTATTTTTATGTTTCAGCTTCCAGTTCTGTTTTATTTCCTGTAAAATAATAAATAAATACATACATACATACATACATACATACATAAAATCACTGTTGTAATAATTGCAATGTGAAAAAAAAAATCAATAATTATTATTATAATTTCAGATGATAATATGGTGATTGGTGATTTTGTAATGTCTTAATAAATGTGCATTTCCTCTTTTCTGGGTAAATTAAGAAACTTAACAAAATGTAATCAAAGTATACTTAAGACCATTCCTTAACCTTTTGACCTCTTTTTCTGTGTCATTTCCTCAGGTTTTGCAGAATGATCTGGAGCTGGAACAGGTTAAGGTGAACTCTCTCACGCACATGGTTGTGGTCGTGGATGAGAACAGCGGGGAGAGCGCCACTGCTGCCCTGGAGGAACAACTGCAGGTAGAGGACAACATGCAGGATATAATGTTTTTATTTGTTGTTTCAAAATGACTGTAATTATGAAATGGCTACTCAGAGAGTCTGGTCAGAGCTGTTATTTTCTTCAGACATACAAATTATAGAACTCACGTGTTTCAATTCTAAAAAAAATATTAAGTGTCAGCTGTTGTTTCTTTTTTTTTTCTTCTTTTTTTTTTATTGCTTAATGTACATAAGACAGGGAACAACCAACAATGTAAGACATTTCCATTGAGACAAACACAGAGTTTACATTAAAGAAGAATAAAAGAAAAAAAAACATAAAAAATAAATAAATACATAAATAAACACAAGGAGCAAGGATGAAAAATAAAAATAAAAATTCAATAAAATTGAATTCACCGATTTAACTACTCTTGGGGCAGTATACAAAGCTTGAGATAAATAAATAAGTTTAGATATTCCCTCAGTTTTAGTCAAGAGAATTCTACCCAATATAGATAGGTCTCGAGATAACCAATGATTTAAGGATTTTTTTCATGCTTTCTATTTTAGAGTTAAAATTTGAGTGTTCTCTATTAACACCATTTTTAGTAATCATAACCCCTAAATACTTAACCTATTGTTTCACTGGAATGCCCTCTATAGCGTCTAAGTTACAATTATGGATCGCCATTAATTCACATTTTTTAAAGTTTAGAGTCAGACCTGATGCCTTTGAGAAGACAGAATTTTTTTCAATAACTAATGGAAGCACCTCTTTATTTTTAAGAAATAAAAGAGTGTCGTCTGCAAATTGGCTTATAGTAAAGGTCCTACCGTGTTCTCTATTAACAACATTTTTAGTAATCATAACCCCTAAATACTTAACCTCTTTTTTCACTGGAATGCCCTCTATATCGTCTAAGTTACAATTATGGATCGCCATTAATTCACATTTTTTAAAGTTTAGAGTCAGACCTGATGCCTTTGAGAAGACAGAATTTTTTTCAATAACTAATGGAAGCACCTCTTTATTTTTAAGAAATAAAAGAGTGTCGTCTGCAAATTGGCTTATAGTAAAGGTCCTACCAAGAACGTCTATGCCTATATTATCCTCAAAATCTTTTATGAATAAAGACATTAGTTTGGTTATAATCAAGCCTAGTCTAATATGACTGTGAATGCTTCTCCCTTTGATAAAAGCCGAATGTGTTTCACTGATAATTTCACCAATACCCTTTTTTAGTCTATTCGCAAAAACATGAGAGAGCAATTTGAAATAATTACATAAAAGAGTTATTGGTCTCCAATTGTCTAAAAATAATTTATCTTTGTTCGACTTTGGAACTAGAATAATTAAATCACGCTTCATCGATGGTGATAATTCAGCTTTATCTATACATTCTTTTAATGCTTCGAAAACTACGATTCTTATTTCTGGCCAAAAATGTTTATATAGTTCTACTGTGATGCCTTCAATACCTGGGGACTTTCCATTAGACATTTGTTAAATAGCAGTGTCTAATTCTGAAATCTCAATGTCAGCTTCCATCATATTTCTAAAATCAGAGTCTATAATAGGAATTTTGTCTTTTAAACAGGAAAAGAAGAGATCACAATCGTTTTCTGTAAATTTAGATTTATATAAATCATTATAGAAGGAATATACTGTATGTAGTCATCAATTAGTGTTTTTTCTTCACTTATACAATTATTAATGCTAAGTTTATTAATAGTTTTTAGAGCTTGTTTTTGTTTTTCTAAATTAAAGAAATATGAAGAATTTTTTCCCCCTTCCTCAATCCACCTGGCTCTAGATCGTATAAATGCTCCTTTAGCCTTTTCTGTATAAAAATCATCCAACTCTGATTGAAGAATGTGAAGTTCTTTTTCCTCACTCTCACTAAGGATGTCTTTATTACCGAAATAATTTAGTCTTGATAAGATTGTTGTCTGCCTAAATTTTCTAGCATTTGCAATTTGTTTCCCTTCTTTAATTGCTAATTTTTTTACAGTAAATTTGACCCATTCCCATTTGCCAATTGAGGTTAATTCAGAAATGGTTTTAACATTGTTGATCATTAACAAAATAGAATTACAAAAAGATTCACATTTTAGTAAATTATTATTAAACTTCCAATGAGTTCTGGTAGACGTTGAGCTGCCATTACTCCTAAGAGAAAGTGATATGGCACTGTGATCAGTTAAAACTGAAGGAGAAATATTACAGTCAAATGTAGAAGAAAGAAGATTACTAGTTATCAACCAAAAATCCAACATGGAACGCTGAATGCGCCCTGAAAAGGACCCCCATGTAAATAGTTTTTTATGTGGGTTCTTTGCACGCCAAAGATCAATTAGATCAAGAAACTGAGATCTATTATAAACCAGGGGGTTATAGGAAAAAGTGGTGAAAGGAGTGGGATATCTATCCTGTTATTCATCTGGAACAGCGTTAAAATCCCCTCCAATAATAATTTTGTCTGTAAAATATGTGTTCTTCCAGTCATCAATTTTTGTAGCCATATTCTGAAAAAAAAAAACTTATTAGCGGCCTTGTTAGTGTAGCTGTTGTTTCTTAAGCACTAATTTTCATATCACCATAAAAAGTAGTAAAATAAAACGCATAACCATGTTTGTGTTTTGCTGAAAACTCATTATGTCTGGCAGTCATTACTGGTAATATTCATATTTCAATTAATTGTTCATTCCTGCCATCTGTAAGGAAATCTTCAAATACTATTGTTTTAAGAGAAAAATACATTATGGTGTGTGTACCAGTGTGCAATGTTGTTTTACTAGAGTTATAGAGATTAAGGTGAATGCTTTATGGTGATCAAGGTGAATGTTACATTGATTGCAGTAAAGAATGAACTTTACAGTAAGTTTCTTCTCACCTAAAGTGCAAAGGTAATCGAACCAAGCTGTTTTCCATGCCTTTACTGATAGCTCCTCTAAGTATTGAGATCTATTAATGTTGGGCACAGTGCTGAGAATTCATTGGATGCAGCACAGCAAGAAACTTGGAACTGAACAGACATTTGACACTCCCAGAGGCCGTAAACGTGTATGAAAAGTAATTCAGTGAATAACTTTCCTTCTTTTGTTTTTCCTTCTGTTCTTTACAGTCACTGGGAGAGCGCTGGGCGGCAGTGTGTCGCTGGACGGAGGAACGCTGGAATAAACTTGAGGAATTTCAGCTGGTGTGGCAGCGGTTGCTTGATGACCAGGTGAGGCCTGATACCAAAAATCCAACATTCCAGGGTAACAAATCACAAAATTGATGAGGCCCTTTTATACGTTTTCAAATAATTGCAAATCGAACTTCGAGTGGTTACAATCATCCGGGTTTAAATCGCGCTCAAATTGATTTGATTTATATTTACACTGAATATTTACACTGAAGCTCTCAGGCGGCTATGGTAAGGGGCATTCATAATAGGACCCCTTTAAGTTTGTAAATTAAAAAAAAAATGTTTTCATGATCAATTTCTGTAGTGTTTGAGTACTTGAATATGTTTGTTTTTGCCCATCCATACAATAACTTCAGTCCAGCACAAACCTGAAGTTACTAAAGCTTCTGGCCAAAAAATAATCAGAGGTGTGCCTCAGGGCTCTGTGTTGGGCCCCATTGTATTGTGCTCTTATCTTGGACTTGGAATGTTCATTGAATGCATTTAAGGGTCAGATTGCTATTTTAACAGTTTAGGCTGCATTCTGGGAAAGGGTGAGATTCAATTATGGCGGTTTATGACTTGCAGATACCATTACCATTGACCCATTACATCATTAGTGTAGAGTGCACTGCACACAATCTTATTTTCACACTTCCCCCGTCTGGACCACTTCCGTCAGTCTGCAAACCGAACTGTGATGTAAAGCAGAGGATATTGTCTATGATATTACATTAAATTAATGCTTTTTATGCCAAAGTACTGTGTAAGGGAGGGTAGTATGGTTATTTTCTCTTTTTATTTGGAGCAATATATGAATGATGAAGCATTTTTCTATTGGAGAATCAACTTTCTTCTCATCCATTCAGAGTTTATTTGGATCATGGCTAGCAGATAAGGAGAAGGCCTTGAGTGAAGTTCAGACGAGTGATTTTAAAGACCCTAGTGAAATAAATGCCAGCGTCCGCAGATTAGCCGTGAGTAGACAAACATACATCATTTCATATTTGGAATTTTTTATTACTTGCCCATAGTTTTGGCTATATGTTTAAATAACATAATTTTCTGAGAACATAAATCATTGTAATTTTAAGATTGTAAACTTAGGTTTTACAAATAACAACTGAAATCTACCAGGTTGATAAGAGCATTGCTGTTTTGTCCTCTGACTCTTTGCAGAGTCTTAAGGAGGATATGGCCCAGAAGCGGAGGGCCCTGAGTGCTCTGTCAGATGCTGGACAGGATGTGATGGTGCTGTTAAACAGTCCAGCTGCAGCTCAGAGGATCGAAGCAGACACAGACCTACTGACCCAACGTTGGGACAACCTGGTCCAAAAACTAGAGGACTGCTCCAGCCAAGTCAGATAAATGCATCTCACGTGTTTATGTTAATGCACATTAGCTTTTTATATGATCTTGATTCCAAGCGTCTGTTCGGTTTCCAGGTAACCGAAGCGGTGTCCGTGACTGGGATGCCCCAGATACAGGAGAGGGTTTTCATGGAGACAGTCACAACAGTAACAACATGGATGGAGCAAACCTTCACCAGCAGTGACCGAGAGCTACCGCCACCTGCCCCACCAAAAAGACGACATCTTGATATCGACGGCGAGCTCAGGAGACTGTACGACAAACACACCTCTTCCTTGTAAAAAAACACAGAAATCTCTTTTATCAGTCCCTCCAGGATTTTGAGATTGTCAAAATCAGTCAAACTTTGTATTTTTTGCTTGAATTTTTGTCTTATTTTTGCAATTAAAAAAAAAAGTTAACTTGAGAGGGGTAAAGCAATATTAGCTAAAATCCATAATTCCAAATCCAAACAAGTTATTTAATACGTGTTCAGAATGTGCTGCCAGAATACCGTGCATAGTCATTACCGTGATATATCGCATTACCGAATACCGGCACAAGTCTAGCTGCCACTTTATTGCAGTGAATTCCATTGTAACCATATGAAAGTGTTTAAACGGAAAGAAAAGTTGCAGTTTCAGGCAGTCCCATTTGAGCGATGGATATATATATATATATATATATATATATGTATTTATATGCGTATGCATATGTTACTGAATATAATGTATATTAGTCCTCATAATGAGTGATTTCACCAGCAACTATCATGAAATTGTTGCTTTCATCATGCGGTTTTGACTGTGTTCATAATGAGCACATTTGGGAACCATTAGCATAAGCTATACAGTGTTTACACACTTAACACACTGCTCTGTTGTTCTGCTCAGCTGTAGCACTCCCTCATGTGAACCCGGTGTGATGTTTATATGTTTTTTTAGAGCTGAAACTGATGTTCCCAAGCTTTTGTCTCAGCTGGCTGAATGGAAGTCATCTGCCCGAGCTGCTGAAGACCCCCCTGTCCTGAAGGAAAAACTACAGGTGATTTATTATAACAATAACATTTACCTGTTCATATATTTGGTCTACTGAATATATTTGTCCCATATCTGTAGACCCTGGGTATGGAGCTTGCTGAAAACGAGGGGGCAGTGAAAGAGTTGGTGCAGAAAGGAGAGAAGATGATTGAACAGCTGGAGAAAGGTAGGGGATTGTGAGTGATTTTCTCGATAAATGATGGTTCCTGTTTTCTCCTACTGATTAAAATCACTCTTATCTGTCTATACAGCAGGTCTGTCTTCAGAGGAGGCCCGTTCTGGCCTGGACTCTGTGCATAAAGAATGGGAGAGCTGCCAGAACCTGATCCAGGATCTGAGGAACCGAGCTCAAGTTCTAGAGCGAGTGGCAGCGGTTCAATCAGGACTGAAGGCTGTAAATGAATTCTTGCAGGAACAGGAGAAGTGGTTGATCTCCACAAAAGGGTTTAGAGCCAAGGACAACCAGCAGGAACTCCAGGCACTCAAAGATGACTGTGAGGTCTGTCAAATACCAGGCAATTTTTATGCAAGACACTTTACTCAAATCAGATGTTAAAGGGAATCTAGCAGTATACTCTTAAAAAATAAAGGTTCTTTATTGGCATTGATGGTTCCATGAAGAACCGTCAACATCTATAGAACCTTTCCATTGCACAAAATGGTGAAACAAAGTTATTCAGATTATTTTATTATCAGATAAAAAACAAAACAAAGAACCTTTATTTTTAAGATTGCAGCAACAAGTTAAAACCCACTCTGAATGCCTTATGTGATTTTGCAGTGTAACATAGAGTTGTTAACAGAGCAAATATGTACTGTATGTACTGTACTGTGTTTCAGACTCGAATAGCAGAGCTGGAAAAGCTTCTGCCGCAGGTGGAAGATCTCTGTTCTCAGACGGAGCGTCTGGCCGCAGAACCTGGTGCCCCTGATACCATGAGGCCCAGTGTGACAGCACTGGCATCACGCCACAGCACAACTATTCAAGAGCTCAAGACGCGGCAGCAGGACATCACTATAGGTAGACATTTCCAAATTGCAGCCTTTACACTACGCTCTCATAACATTTAAAGAATGTCACTCCAGCCTGCAATTTGAGGGAACTTGGGATTTTGAAAACCGGTAGTTGAGCTTTTCTATCTAAGTTACAAATATAGAGAAATGAAATCACTTCTGGAAAAAAAGAACAACACATTCTTAAAGGATTGCATTTAAAGGGAATATTTCAGCCAACAATGTCATCGTTTATTCATCCTCATGTCATGTCAACGCATGTTCATTCTGTCAAACACAAAAGAAATTTTGAAGAATGTCCAACCTGCTCTTTCCATACTGTAAAATAGACTTTAACTGGTTCTGTCAAGCTCCAAAAATGACACAAAAGTACCATAGAAGTTTATGTGAGCTGTCAATTAGGTAGCAAGTTTCAAACTCTCGACATAGGTAATCACGCCACACAGCTAGCGCAAGAGACGCAACTCACAATTGATTTCAGTAGAGCAGTTAGCATGTTGCTAAGCTAACAATGTGAAACCAAACTCATGGTAAAGTAAAGTGTCCATTAGATGCTCATTTGAGAACATCACCAACAGTTGTAGACCATCCAGAGCCCTAATTTCTAATATTAGTACATGGTGCTAACAATGCCAAGCTTTTATTCTCTGATAAAATGTCCTTTAATTTTGAAGTCACTTTGGATAAAAACTTCTGTTTTTGTGTTACGAGTACAACTACCTTAAATGCTGCCTATGTAGGCAGTTCACTAGTTTTTGGAGCAGATCTACAGAAAGATTGAGGCTCACTGAGATTTTTATAAGTCCCGGGGCTTGAATTGGTGCCAAGGGGTGCAGTACCTCTGTTTCTCTGTCCTCCGTTTCTCTTGTTCTCTTCAGTTTTATTTAAAGACAGAAATAGTGACTTATGCAACAGGTAAATCATTTGTGGAGCCAACAAGAGCAGAGCCAGAGTGAGAGAAAGCAGTCTATTTATGGCTGTAATGTCAGCGTGGCCCATGAGAAAGCTTTTACACACTGATAAACCTCTGAGTGTGTGTGTGTGTGCTAGAAAGAGCTCTAAGTAAGAGTACATCAGTGTTTAACCTTAAAGCTTGAGCAAATCTCTCTCACACCCACTTTTAGCCAGCCATGGAAATGAGGGCATACCATAGACTTCTATTGTTTTACATACAGCTAATTATGACTATAGACTGACCCCATTCTGAAAACCTTTCAGAAATAAATTTGATTAAACCAGAATAAAAATGGCAACAATAACAAAATGTTTCTTTCTTAAAAATAGTTGTTCCTAATTGAGAACATTCCCAGATCTCCCACAGTGATGTTTTTTTCAAATTTAGCGAACTTCTGGGACCATTTTGTGCTCAAAGTGTAGTTAAATACACAAACACAAACATATTTGCTTAGCTGATTAACATACCATAGACTACTGATATATTTATATAAAGCTAATTGTTGCTTTATATAAATAAAGCCTACAATTAGCTAAAACAGCTACAAATAGCTTTATAATAGCTTTATAAAATTTATAATAGCTTTGTTATAAAGCTATTTATAACAAAATAGCTTTATAACAAAGCTATTTTGTTATAAAGCCCCCCCCCCCCAAGTCAGATTCCCAGTGGAATGCTCTCTGACAGCAAATGCAATTAATTTGCTTCCTTCTTTTCTGAGAAGATCAATAATATCAGAAAGGCGATTAGCACATCCTCAAGTTATGCAGAGGTCAGACAGATTCGACGGCAATTTCAAAAATATGTTACTGTCTGTTTTTGAAGCAATTGATAGCAAAATTTTGGAAGAAATAGTACAGCACCTTAAATCGTCAACCTGCTATCTTGACATACTTCCCACATATTTTTTCAAAAGGGTGCTTAACTGTTTGGAAGCAGATCTCTTAGAAGTGGTGAATGCCTCACTTCTTTCTGGGACTTTTCCAAACTCCCTGAAAACTGCAGTTGTTAAACCCGTTCTGAAAAAGAGCAATCTTGATAACACCATATTGAGCAACTATAGACCAATATCAAATCTTCCTTTTATAGGCAAGATTATTGAAAAGGTAATTTTTAATCAGCTGAACAAATACTTAAACTCAAATGGATACCTGGACAATTTTCAATCTGGTTTCCGACCGCATCACAGCACAGAGACAGCACTCATTAAAATAATAAATGATATTTGCTTTAATTCTGATTCTGGCAAATATCAGTTCTGGTACTACTAGATTTCAGTGCTGCGTTTGACACTGTCGATCATAACGTCCTTCTAGAAGAGACAGGAAAACTGGGTCGGGCTTTCTGGGATGGTAATCAAATGGTTCAGGTCATACTTAGAAGGGAGAGGTTATTATGTGAGTATAGGAGAGCATAAGTCTAAGTGGCATGAGTTCTATGATGTGCTACAGGCCGTGATCGACGAAATACCAAGACATGATCTCAAAATCGTTATTGGAGACATGAATGCCCAGTTCAGCCGTGACTGCCAGGGTTCCGAAGACGCCTCCATAGCATAACGTGAGGTAAACAGCAAAGATAACAAGCTTTTCAAAATGAAAACAAAAAGAAAAGTAAAACTAAACTTGCTGTCGGTGACAGTGCTTGCATGTTTTTGTCCCACAAGAATACCAACATGTTCACCTTTGGTTTAAGAAGCGGTCTTTTACTTTACTTTAACATGAAAACCATCCATCGTTTCCTCAATACTCGCATCATTTTTGCTGCACGCAGCTTCGCGCTCCTGACGCGGCGAG